ACATAGATAAATCACAAAATTAATTGAACATAATTTTTAATAATTTTCATAATGCATACACACAAATTTACTGTTTTCCATTTAATATTTAATATCTTCTTTCATATTGAAATTAAATTATGAAGTGATATATTGCTTTATATGACTATCATGTGAAATGATTGTATTTCATACTTAAATTTTCTTTCTTTTTATTATTCAAAGTATTTCTATTGATATAGATTCATTCTAAATTGTGTTGGCTTTCGTAAAGGTAATTTCCTTCAGATGTGCCATATACTTGGGTCATACACACCAAGACAGGAGAAATAGGTTCAGCATTTGATTTCCAAACAATTCTTCACAAGCAACATCAAGTTGCTTTTGAGGAAAATGCTTATTTCCTCGAAATGAAAATCCAATTGAATGTAATCGTCACGGAATTTTCTCTCTTTAACACTGCATTTCAAAACACTGCAGATACCTTGGTGTACTCTGTGGGAATTCTAATCAGATGAATGCATGTTAAGTAACTGGTGGAAATGTGCACATCAGTACTTGTATGTTTCCTGTCATCAGGCAATAGTACATTCCGAGTATAAATTACACAACATATGGTTGTGAATGAAATAAGTTGAGGCTGCGTAGTGCTTATAGCCCTGTAACACTATCACTGGGGAGTAAATTGAGTGGAAGTTTCAGTCAATTACAGTACCAAATCTCAATGTTCTTCATAGTAATTCAAACAATGGAGGGGGAAGGAGAGAGAGAGAGAGAGAGAGAGAGAGAGAGAGAGAGAGAGAGCGAGCGAGCTTACTGTGCATGGAATATTTAAACATAGCTAGGGTGGTTTGACTTTCACAAAGGCTCTATAAATTTGGAAGTACTTAATACACTGACCGTTCAATGAAACATCAAGCTGTAAGATAATAGCACAATAGTGAGTGATGGGTTCAGGGCATTGGCTAAACATTTTCAATATATGTACTCCTGTAATTTCTAGAGCAGCAAGATGAAGACACTATTATTTTCCTTTCATGTGTTAGGAAATTCAAACAGATTAGCAGCACATCTAAGACCATAGCATCTAGTTATGAATAATTAGAGTTAAAATTGTGCCATCTGGCTAAAGGGGTCAAACTAGTACAACCAGTCTGGGATCAAATGAGGCAGGGGCAGTGTACAAATCCAGTTTACTTCACATTGATTGAATGACTGTATATTTAAAAATAACAAATGAAATAGAAACGTTATTACCATTTTTGAACATATAAACTTATCAGAATATCATATCCATGGTTAGAAGCTCTAATTCCTGTCTGTCACCATTCAACCTACATGAAAATAGTGTTTTCTCCCCACTGGGCTCAGAGACACAGACATATGTTAATGTTCCCATAAATTCTCTGCTCGCACATTCTCAAGTTTATTTGGAACTCACGTTCATCTCCTAGTTCTTTAGAAGTTGGAATGTCCTAGGACTCAGCCCATGGCATAACATTTGTTATCTACCTACACTCATCTCTTCAAAGAGATTTCTTAGCACAGAGATTGTAGTCCAAATCCTGGAGGGTGATGTGGTCACACAGGAAAATGACCATGGAGGAAAAAAAAAGAATATAAAAGACAGCCGAATCACTACTGGAAACAGCAACAGAGGAGGACAAACAAGTGAAAAGTAATGCTGAGGACTCTGATGCTGTGAGGAGGAAAGGGACACAAGAAAAGCAAAGTGTTGGAGAAAAGGTCAAAAGGCAGAAGAAGCAATTAACTCCCTGTGACAAATGAAGGCTTAAAATACAAAGAAAACATGGCAGCCATGAAGTATCATTGCTAAAAGCAGTTCCCACATGGTTGATGCTCCATTATGAGTGAGCAGTAGATATCAAAGTCAGAATTGGGAACAATTACAATTTTGAAGATGAAGGAAAGAAAAAAATGGTTGTAATAAAAAATATAAATGTGCTGTTTGATTCGTTAATTTACTGAGTGTCTACTCAATGTGCAGAACTATTTAAACAGATTAGATACCCACGCTGAAGAGAAGAACAAAAGATAACCCTCGCTAAATTTCACTCTTTTGGGATGGATGAATTTAAATCATAGACGTTTCCAGGGTGATTATTCACATCATTTACATGGCCTGCCAGGTATCTCTCTGACTACACACATTTCATATAACCTTCCTTCAAATCTAAAGCAAAACCTTAGTTTCTATGTCTCCTTTCAAGGTAGTCTGATACTTGATTTTTTTTATTTTTTTTTTAAATGTGAACAGTGAATGAGGAGAAAGAATGATAGAATAGTATGGAAATCTGGGAAGGGGATGAGAGGACAGGGAGAAAGGGAACAAGAAGAAAGGAAAGGAGAAGTAGGAGAAAGAATTGGGAAGAAAAGATGGAAATCAAGAATCTGTGTTCTGCCATTGTGTTTGGTTCTTTCCAGCTCTTCCCCCTTTATTTATCCTTTAGACCAGCCCAGAAGTAAAGTTGAAGTCCTGAGTCTGGGCCTCTTGGTATTTAAAAATCTAACTATGGCTTACTCAAATATCTGATGTTATATGCACACCAATGTGAATTCTTCTATAGGTTTATGACATTCTCAGCCTTACATACAAAACCAGAGTCATCATGTTTTTACCTACTAAATATCCTTTCCAATACAACCTACATACATACATATACCACCTCCACCAAACTCTGACAGTATCAAGTGTGAAAAACATCTCCCTTCTCCCTCTTAGTGATAATTACTACACGATCTAAAGGGCGCATAGGCTGAAATCTTCCCAGCAGAATATCATCATTTACTTTTCAAAGCATGTACAAAATCAAGTAGCCTTGTGGGAAATGGAATGCAAATGATCTGAAGCTGACACTGAATGTGTTAGTGTGCACCAAAAATACATTCGGGGAATTTTTCTGGGGTCCCCACGATGGAGCAGCCCTTCTATCACCTTCACTTAGGTGTGGTGGTGAGGGGTACACTCCATTCACAGCACTATGGTGCCAGAGTCAGCTGCCTCTGCTTGTCTTTAGAATTGTGTGTGGAGGACACTTAAACATGAACTCAAATACTGTGTGTTCACCTGGATAAAAGAGTTTAGCCTTAACCCGAATGTGAATGCTGAGGACATCACGTTTCTTGGATTTCATATAGAAAATTCCTTGGAAACAGTGAAATGCAATTGAAACAAAGTTAGGGACACCTGTGTCACAGTATGTAATGAAGGCAGTACCACTCCTCAACGGCACTTTTGGGGATTCATCCTAGTCTTAATTTTCTCTGGTTGAAAATAGCAGCTTTTAGTAATAACTTAAAAATCATTACTGTTGCTGTTAAAATAAAATGAGTGCTGACTTGAGATGTGAGAGATATAAACATTCCTCAGAGTTAAGAGTATAAACTAGTACACTCACTGCTAATCAGTATGTGCTTCCCTGAAGAAATTAAACGTGAAACTTTCATGTGACCCTGTCATATCAGTTTTGAGACGTACATACAGGAATCAAAGCCAGTTTACCACAGTGATGACTGTATACTCACTGCCCCATTCAGAAACCATGGAATCCACCTAGCTGCCTATCAACACATGAATGGATAGTAAAACGTGACATATTATACAAAGGAGCTTTCTTAGCCATAAGGAAAATTGAAATCAAAATCATTAAAATGAAGTTGTAGAAAAATAGAACTGGACATCATCATGCTAAGTAAAAAAAGTCAAACTCTAAAAGAAAGTGTTATCTGTTTCTTCTCATCTGGATGAAGTGGGACTGGGAAAATGTGGCATGAGATTAAAAGTAGATTAATGAAAGTGCAGGAAGGGGAGTAGAGAGGAAGAGAAGAGATGGAAAGGGGTGAGACACAAAGCAGAGGGAATGAATATGATCAATGTACTTCACATGTATGTGTGGAAATGTCATAATAAAGCTCTTTTGTATAATTAATACACACTAATAAAACAGTATCTTCTGAGAAAAAAATCATTACTGTCTAACATCGCTTAGGCATTTTCAAAAGTAGACTGCTGCTGATAAAAAGATGTTTCAGATTCATTCAAACCCGCGCCTTCCGGCGTCCCGGCTGCTGCGCGGCTCCGCCCTCGGCTCGCACCCGCTTGGCCCACTGGACTAGAGAGGTGACTAGGGTTGCTGAAGCTCCCCTGCCATGTGGATTGGGCTCTCCACAGAAGAAGGTGTCCTCTTTCCTGTCTAGAATGGCTGCGCCTAATCAGATGTCTGTCTTGGATATGATTAAAGAGTTTAGAAGGAATTGGCGTGCTCTTTGTAACTCTGAGAGAACGACTTTATGTGGTCCAGACTCCATGCTCTTGGCATTACAGCTTTCCATGGCAGAAAACAACAAGCAGCACAATGGAGAGTTTACAGTCTCTCTCAGCGATGTCTTACTGACATGGAAATATTTCTTACATGAAAAACTGAACTTGCCCACTGAAAATATAAAAGTGGTTGATCACTATGAAGACATTAAGAAAACATATGATGATTTCTTGAAGAATAGTAATATGCTAGATCTGATTGATGTTTATCAGAAATGTAGCAACTTGACTTCTAATTGTGAGAATACCATGATATCTTCAGTTCTGTAACACATTTCCTCACTGAGCGAATGAGACATGTAAAGGTTGCTCTTCAGGCTAGTTATGGAGGATTGTCTGCAAATGTTAATGTGTCTCTGCAGAACACCAAAAATTAAACAGAAGCTGCCATGATGGTCGTTTCATGAAGAAGACTCTGGAATTCTAACAACTCAGTCTCTGATACTTGTTTTCTCCAAGGGAATTTCCACCAGCAACAAAATTGTACAGCAAAATGTATCTTGGGTTGATTTTTTTTCAAAAGTGTCTTAAATGTATCCCTAATTAGTTTGGACTATGTCTTTAAAGTTAAATATCAGAATATTCCAAATAGTTCTGGTTTTCATGCTCTTAAGTCTTCATGGCCTTAATAAGGTTGCTTTGTTTCTTACTTGTTGTAGTTTAAATAATGCAGATATTACTGGGAATTAAGATAGACAAAGATGTAGTGGTTCTGGAGAGGTAGTAACTTGAACCTTTACTCCCTAGTTTATAATTCTCCATCTGGGAGCATATAAGGCCTTGGGTTCTAACTGTAATATCAGGGAGAGAGATTTGGGACAGATTTGTTTTCACATGAACTTAAAGTATGTGGACCACAGTATCAGTGAGCTATGGCCAGCAGAAGGGTAGATCTCAGAAGAGCGTAGGCACAGAGATCTGTGAACCCTCAGGGCAAGATCAACAGATGTTTTCTGTGGGCCGGCAGGGTTCTCTGTCTCTCTAGCTGAGAAGTAGTTCTATTATTCCCTGTTGGTAAGGCTTGGAGAACACAGACTTCCTCAGCAGGTGACTGACAGCCTCTTCGGTACTTTCTTCTCCGGCTGCTGGGCTGCTCAGAGGAGCACAGAGACCATGGCACCTTTCATTACTTGGAGAAATGTCATGTCAGAGAGAGCCTGAAGGAGCCAATCAAGAGAAACAGCAACCCAGTCGAGGGTTACCATCGACCAGAGAAGGATGAGTCAGTGGTAACACATTCACAACAAAAGAGAGCTGCTGGAGGGAGGAATAACGCCTTAAATACACAGAACTGTTGAAGTACTTCAAGAAATCCAGGGATAACACATGAACTCAAGCCTTGCTAGGTCTTACCTAACAAAGAAGCCAGCTTGCTGGGGACACCGTGGGAGTGACGTACTGATGCTAGAGTGTCAGCAAGGGCCGGCACAGGCACGAGCTCCAACTGTCCAGGCTGCAGGGAGGACACCGGGGTGCAGATTCCTACATTGACTGCAGCTGGGAGAGAGCCCTCTGTTCCTGATGAGGCCACGCTCAAAAAGACTCGGACAGCACAGGACTCCTGAGGAAGCTCCTACACTTAGCTGTAGCCAGAGACCTGCAGGAGATGCCCTGAACCTTTGTGAGAAGAGTGTGGGAGGTGGACGCCTGGTGCCTTCAGACCTTTCCCAGGACATCCCCATCCACACGGCAGAGGCCGACGCCCCAGCAGCCTCTAGGAAAAGGAAGCCCATTTCCAGGGCTTCCAAGCGGCCCCGTGGACAGTTAAGGCCCTGCCAGGATCTCTCAGCGCCTGCGGAAGATCCCTCAGCGTTAGCCTCATTGGCCCAACATCCTCAGCAGAAGCCCCTTGCAGGCGGGTCTCAAAACTCAACGTTGCCCAAGGTTTTCCACAAAACCCGCAGGGGGAGGCGAGACCCCGCGAAGCTGGCAGCTGCCATGGAGCGGGTGAGGCAGTGGGAAATTGGCCTGCTTCAGAACCTCGAGGAAGCCGCGCAGCACCACCTCACTATAGAAACCGAGGCTAAGAAACCAGCGAGCCAGGAGCGTCAGTTTACCACAGAAGACCAGCCAGAGCCCTTCTCCCAGGCCCACACAGGGCACAGACTTTTGCGTTTTTTGGACACATGATCATTAAATGTAAAACTGGCATTACTCTTATAAATGTTTGTACCACTCACTCTATCCAGAAGCGCTTGTTCCTTTATTGTAAAACCGTAAGCACCCTAGCGTGTCAGCCCCATCCGTTCTCCCCGGCTTGATCCACCCCTTCTTCAGGTACAGGGGCGGGGGCACTGGCTCTTCCCTGAGATGCAGGCAGAAGCCTGTTGCTTGAGTAGACTCAGAAAACAGTTCCCGAGAGAAACTGAAAACTGACTTGTTCACCGCCTGCACTAGATGCCAAGGGCGTGTAAGGTCTAGGAGGTGCTAAGAGGCAGGTGATGTTGATTCTGAAGCTTCAGGTTGCGGGGGAAAGTATTTCCTTCAGTTTGTGTCAGAAGTGGAAACGTTTTTTGAAGGGTTACCAACCTTCAGGAACTCAGGAAATCTCCCACAAATGGGTCAGGTGCAGGCGGACACCTGCAGTTGTCCGGACACTCCAACATTCCATCTGCTCCAGTCTGGGTGGTAGGAGTCGACTGTGTAAGATGTTCCAGCGTTTGCAACTTTTACAAACGTCCTCCTGTGTAAACCGACTGTTCATTTGGCTCATTTTTTCATAATTACTAAGAGGTTATAAAATTACCAGTTATAAAAATGATACAAGTCTGTTAACTTTTCAAAAAAAACAGGAAAATAGAAGCACAAAAACTTATTATGTAATGATATAAAGGTAAATACTTCCAAGTAATTTCTAATTTTTATGAAAAATAAGCTGTTTTCATGACAACTTAGAGAAAAAATATGAAGATTTCCTAATACAAAAGGCATATTGACACAAAAATTAGTATCCTAACAAACACCAAATTGAAAGAACTTAGAGGTAGAGCTATAGTTCTTAACATGAAGATACTAGTAGTCCCAGGAGGGAAAAAACTAAATAATAATATATTTGTCATAATAAATAGAACTGTTAGCTGAAAAGAAAGTGTACTGATAATTAGTGTTTAAGTTCTAGGCTCTATTGATGAGAAAAGATACATAGATATGACCTGATAAAATTCCTGGACTCTTAAATATTATAAAACTCCTTGGTTATAATTTATTACTGAATTATAATTTAGATATGTTTGTTATTTAGCAAAAGATGAACTAGAATGTCCCTTTCCAGCCACAGTAATTGTTTATCATTCAATTTCAAAGGATTTGTGAGAATATGGAGAATTGTGTAGAAGGAAATGTTATATTCATATATATTTGTCCACAGATGTCAAGCAATCCTTGGTACTGGACCATCTGTGACAACATGCAGAATTTTATATAACATAATAGTCTGTTTCCTGTGCCTTTATTGTACTGTGTATTGTTTACAGAGTCAACTACGGGATTTTCTGTCGGGCACACAGTGGGCAGTAAATGATGGAACTAATTCTCACGTACCAGCATCCCCAGTGAAATGCAGCCAGGATGGTGAACAGGTACTGTTAACACTGCCAGCCACTTAAAGCAGGGGGTGACCACTCAGATCACGAATCTGTCGGTTCATTGCAGTTATCACTGTTTTTTTCTTTTTTCCAAGTTTTAAAGTTGTTTAAATAAAGCTGAATTTGTAAAGGATACTAAAAAAAAAAAAAAAAAGATGTTTTAATGGCTGACTACATGAAAAACAAGTGGTTGTATAAGTTTAATCTATGGAAGAAGTAACAGCCACACTTGGCAACTAGGCCTTGGTTTTCAAATAGCACCTCCAAAACAAGGACGAAGGATTCTGAGGAATGTCTATGATCCGATTTAGGACAATTTGAGCACCAAACTAATGACAGTAATATTTTGTAAATTTTTAAGAAAGTAGTAATCCAGAAATCCATAGATATAAAATGAAATATGTGCATAATTAAAGGAGAGCATAGTATCTCTTTTTGCTGTTGTTGCTTGTGGGTTTTCTTTGCTTTGGTTTGGTTTTTGTTTGTTTGTTTTGTTTGTTTGTTTGTTTTGTAGCAGTATCTTGTATTCCAGGCCAGCTTAGATTTTGCAGCCCTCACCTTGCCTTTGTCTATGAGTGCTGGAACTATGGGTGTGTATCACCATGTTTGACAGTGATCACTCTTTCTCACAATAAAATGCCAACTAACAAATATGAAGGAAATGATGGAATTAAAAAATAACCACTTTGCATTTACTATAATAATAACTGTTTTAGGGGAAAACTGAGTGGATGCTGAAATTGATAAATGAATGACAGAAATATCAAGGCTTTGATCTCACAAGACCTGTACGAATTACAAAGAGGCAATACAAAGTTTGTGGTGGCAAAATTACACACTGCATTAAACAGGGGATCAAAGTTAAATCACCCATAGAAAGAAGAAACTGTATCATGTGACTGTAGGTAGGATGCACATAGAGAGAAAAGACCCCATTCCCCTTTCCTATAGCACTCTTTGGCTAGAGTACCTACTCTATGAATACTCATGAGCGAAAGCATCAAGAAACACTGAAATGAAAGATATTTGTTGCTTAAAGTCTTTTAGAAAAATAACAAGTAAGATGTAAAAAGAAAAAACAATCTGTTACAGATTAAAGGAAACTTGATATTTGACAACTAAATGAGACTTGTTTAAACTTGATACATTATTTTTACTGTGTCAGTTACCATTGGTTCAGTACACTGTGCTGTGTATGGATACCCCTTGCTATTTAAGAAATGAAACCAAGGAAGTGTAGCTCTTGCCCCTCATCAAAGAAGCTTCTTTTGACAGCAAGTGGAGACCATCATAGAACACTGCAACTGGATACAGTGCAGAGGCCAATAGGTCATGGGGAGGAAAAAGCTTAGCCCTTTAGTATATATACATACGAATGTATGTATGTATGTATGTATGTATGTATGTATGTATGTATGTATGATCCTCCCAAGGCTCAGGGGTTACCACAGAAGAGGAGGCAGAAAGAGGGTAAGATCCAGAGGTGTTGGATGAGAACAAGGAAACCTCCTTTGGACACTGATCAGCTGCATATATAAACTCACAGATGTTGTAACAGTATGCATGAAACCTGTGTGAATTTTGGTTTTTAATGTGCTTCTTGTTTTTTAGGTTTGTTTACTTTGTTTTTGTTGTTTGTTTTAAAGAGAGAGAAAGAATACAAAGTTGGATGGGTAGGGAGGTGGGGAGGATTTGGAGAAGGGAAAACATGAACAAAACACTTTGTAAGAAAAACTTATTTCACTACAAGAAAAGTCATGGTGGGAGGAAGATTATTCTCCTTTTGGTTGTTAGGCCTCCCTCTTGTTACCAAGTTGATTTAACCAGTTGCCACTGCTCTGAGTCCTTCATTCATACCAGAATCAATATTTCCAGTCTTCCGTTATTGACTAAGGAACAGAGGCTCTCCATCAAGCCTCCACATTCTTAGTACCTGATTGGGACTGCAGTGGCACCTGGCTTTATGGGCTGAGAAACTACTGAGGTTTTGGCACTACTCTCTAATTATTGACATCCCTAACCTGAAGGAATGGACAATTAATGGGTTGTCAGCCTTTCAGAGGTAAGATAACTGTTATTACTATTCCCAGGTAAACTGATTTAATAAATTATTTTAATATACCTACATTTGTCCTTTTGGTTCTGCTCTTCTAGATAACCCTGACTAATATATTCTATATCCTAGCCAACTAACTCCAAGAACTGTTTAATACAATCTGTCTTTCCTTAGGTCATGGATTCCAGTTCAGGCAAACTATAACATAATCTGGAGCTGAGAACTGAGTTGACTCTGCAGTCTCCCTCCATGTGCAGCCATGGCTTGGTGTGACATTGCTCTGTTTAAGGGTACAGTTTCTAGTGGACAGTGACTCTTCTACAGATGGAGGATGGAGGCTCTTCCTTGCTCGACCTTTATTGCACTGAGAACAATATCCTTCATACTCTTGTTATCCTTAGGTTACCAACCATCTTACGGGTTTTTTTCCTTTAAGTTTGCTTTCCTATATTGTCTGTTCATTGAAGTTTTCTCAATAAAAAGGCATTTCTTCAATGTTAGGTCATCCATACAATCAATATCAATCCCAATTGGACAAACCTTATCTTATCTGACTTATCTGCAGTCATGTTTAAGATACTTTGTGCCAAGGGAAAAACAGTCCCTGGAGATGTTCGCCAGTGTCAGAAAGAGACTGTGGTTACAGCATATAAATATTCATGCAGCAGCACTGTCATGAGGAACCACCTTAAATACTGATCATGGGATATGCAGTCAGACCCTTTCAATGAACATAGCCCAAATCCAGATTTTCCAAAATATGATTCTGTGTCTCTGATTTTTTTTTTTTAGAAAAAAAAATGAGTTGGTTCATAGGTAATGTCTATTTGTTATTATTAGGAATAATATGCCTTAATACATTCTAGCACAGCTGTGGCAGAAAGTAGAAAAGAAAGGATAAAATTGGCTGAATGTAGTCAAACTCTATTGTTGTTGACCTTCCAGAGGGACTTCATATCTATGAGCATATTTGTCTTTTGTTTGGTATCAATAGATTTGGCTCTATCTGAAATTCACCTCCATTTGCTACTCACTCCCATGTTTTCCCTCCCTTGCATCAAGCATCTGGGAGTATTTTACACGGCTTTCCTGTAATCTGCCAAACTATGCACACATGTGTCTTTCAGGAGTCCAATTTTCTCCACCCAGTAATTGGCCAATGCAGAGAAACAAAGTATCATTTTATTTTACATAATGGTGCTATGTAAAATGATTCACTAATTCGGTGCTGAAAAATAATAACCACACGTTGGGAGATTTAAAAGAAGAGAACCCAGGGATATCTAAGCATTCGGCACTTACACAAGCTCACTCTTGCCCCCTGCAGTTTGCTAAGGGACCAAAAAGTGTTTTGCAATTAGCTTTGTGTTTTGCCTGCAAACTTGAGCTGAAATATTCATTTGCCTTATAAGGAGCTGTCAGTATTCCCAAGAACCCAGCACAGAACAGTATTATTTAGAAAAAGATTATCTCCTCTATCACGTGACAAATATGTACTTGTTCTTCCTTTGCCTCTTTTCTCATTAATAAAGAAAAATCATCACAGAAAATTATGCAACCTATTACTTACTATGGATTACTGTGTTTTGTGCCCTCACAATTTGAAAGGCATGTCTCTATAAATGATGAGCAATAGCTAATGCTTTCCCTAAATAATACAAGTTTTAAAAACACAATTCCTAAGGAAATTGTGTGCAGTTATCACATGCAATTTCTTTGTACTAATGAGATTATGAGAAAACTTTTTTCCCCAGAGCCTCAAAATTCAGCACCGATATTGTGGACAGCACCCTCCAAGAAGGAGCACTTAAACCGAACTACTGAATGAAAACAGAATAAAAACCTGTATGTGTGGTAACTAACTTTTTTTTCTCCTTTTTTTAAATTTTTTTCCTTTTATTTTATTTTACAATATCATTCAGTTCTACATATTAGCCACGGATTCCCTTGTTCTCCCCCCTCCTGCCCCCTCCCCTTCCCCCCAGGCCGGCCCCCATTCCCACCTCCTCCAGGGCAAAGCCTCCCCCAAGGACTGAGATCAACCTGGTAGACTCAGTCCAGGCATGCCCAGTCCCCTCCTCCCAGACTGAGCCAAGCGTCCCTGCATAAGCCCCAGGTTTCAAACAGCCAACTCATGCAATGCGCACAGGACCTGGTACCACTGCCTAGATGCCTCCCAAACAGATCAAGCCAATCAACTGTCTCACCTGCCACCACCACCCAATAACTAACTTCTGACTAACCGAATACCTTACATGCCAACTCCAAGTACCCTTATGCCACTTAGTATGAAAATCTGTTCTCTTTGATTACCCCAATGATACGAGACAAATTTAGAGCAATTATAAATAAATTCTTAAAAGTCCTTGCCACTCTTCAAAATAACCTTTGTGGTAGGTTGTTTATATTAATAGAGGATTGAGTAAATAATTCAGGATTTCAGCTGATTAAAAAGGAAAATGGGCTCACTCTCAGCCCAAATGAATTTAATGTAAACACTATATTGTGTTATTGTATGTTTTATTCATATTTCACAGTTGGTCCAGGCCTTACATATGCTAGCATGCAGGATGCACTGCATACTTGCAAGTCTGTTCTGCAAAGCATTTTCCACAAGCAGTATGTGCCTGCAGTCTGTAACGCTCCTTCTGTATGAGGCATTTCTGTTCATTACATAGGCTTTTCTAAGCAAGAATGGGGGTGTCAGAGATTAATCAGTGTGGTTCCTGGTTAATAAGCCGGGCTTCTTTCTTTCTAGAAGGGAACCCTTTTAACATAGCTAGTAGAATTAGCATCAGTTTTTCCACTGTTCTTTGGATGCAGCACTGCTGAGCCTTTTCAACAAATAGCTGCGCCATTTACTGAAGCCGTGTCCAGCTTTGTAGCCACAGATGAACTATCAGGTTCTAAATTCCTTCTCTCTTTCATCTC